AGTTGCCCAGGCGGGTCTCGAACCCACGGGCTCAGGCAATCCACTCACCTCAGCCTCCCGGTTATTCTTAAACCTGCTCTTCTTGGCCAGTAACTGAACTGGAAAGCCAGTGTCCTGTGCAGCCCTGGGCTTCTTGCCCTGTGACAATGCTTCTGTACTGCCCTCTCCCAGCACTCCTTCCCCACCACCCCCAGTGCTTCTCACCTCCTCAGCACCTACCCACCTAACCTTTCTTTGGCTGACTTTCTCTAAGGATACAGCACCCTGATGGCTCCTGGGGAGAGGATGAGCCTTCTCCCACACAGGCTGCCAATCCCAGGACCGGCATGTGCACCCTCCCTTTGATTGTAAAAGAAGCTCATTCACAGCAGAACTCCAGGAAATACAGACAATATTAAAGAAGAAAAAATTTCCTGGCAACATAGCCACCTAGAAATAATCTTACTAATCTATGGCTGGTTTTTTTCCTCTTTGTTCCTTGCATATTTAAAATCTGTATCAGCCGGGCACAGTGGCTCATACCCATAATCCCAGCACTTTGGAAGGGCGAGGTAAAAGGATTGTCTGAGCCCAAGAGTTTTAAACCCGCTTGGGCCAGGCGTGGTAACTCACGCCTGTAATCCCAGCATTTTGGGAGGCAGAGGTGAGAGGATTGCCTGAGTCTAAGGGTTCGAGACCAGCCTGGGCAACTTGGTGAGACCTCATCTCTATTATGAATCAAAAAATTAGCTGGGCTTGGTGGTTCGTGCCTGTAGGTCCAGCTACTTGGAAGGCTGAGGCAGAAGGATCACCTGAGCCCAGCAGGTTGAGGCTGTGGTGGCTGTGAGTGTACCGCTGCACTCCAGCCTGGGCAACAGAGTGAGACTTTGACTGAAAAAAAAGAAAAGAAACCAGCTTGGGCAACACGCAAGACCTCGTCTCTACAATAAATCAAAAAATTAGTCGTGTGTAGTTGTATGTGCCTGTAGTTCCAGCAATTTGGACAGCTGAGGTAGAAGGATTGGCTGAGCCCAGCAGATCGAGACTGTGGTAGCCATGAACATACCACTGCACTCCAGCCTGGGCAGCAGAGTGAGACTCCAACTCAAATAAACAAATA